ATATAACTTATTGTGTACTTGTATTTCTCCAATCTTTTTATTTGCAGGTGAATAGATAGTACATGTATTGTTTGTTTTTACTAATTTGTGTCCTGCTTCACATAGTAATGCTTTACTGATTAATGTGAAGTTTAGATTGGGATGATAGTATACTGTAGCAGACTGTATGTAGGCAACGCTTACTAATGTATTATATAAGTGTAATGGTAAAATGAAAGCAACAAAGTAAGAGTGATGTGTTACAGGGTCCAAATTAAGCAACCATGGCCAAAATGAGACAGAGGTGGATTGTCTTTTGAGATTGTGAGGAGCCACTGAGCTACAAACAGGCCACACAAAGATGAAAATGATAAAAAAGCATGAATTAAGGATCTTGAATGTGTCTTCAACATATCATCCAGCATGTCAGAGACAACACCTTCTCTGCAACTCGTGCAACCCTTGCCTTCCACATACCCTGTCTCCCAGCATTCTAATCCTGCTGTGCAAAGCAAGAACCTGTGCCAAACGAAACTGCAATTCCAAGTTTGTACCAAGGAAGAGGCAGCTGAGCAACAGAGAAAGGAGGATGAGCAAGATCGAGAGAGCTGCAAGAGAAAGATCGAGTTGTATGAGGAACACAAAGCCGAAAAGAAAGCTTGCGAGAAGGAATTGAGTGCTGCAAGAGTTGCTAGGTATTGGAAGAAGAAGAGAGAGGAGTGTCAGAGACTTGATACAGAGGAAAGTAGTCAGGTATGTATCTTTTGTTGACTAAAGTACATTAACAGTTGTTTATTGACTTATATTACAGGTATCTAGTGATCATCAAGAGAGTCCAACTGCTCTTCCATGCAATAACACTGTTGCTGAGGTATCCCAGGAAATTTCAGGACAGTGGAAGACACAGTGAACAGGAAAGCAGCAGGGACGTGTTCCAGGTGTTTCTAGGCATACAAATTGGTACCATCCATTCCTATGGGATGCAATTGATTGTATTGCACCAAAGGTCAACTTCAGTCCCTCAAAAATTGTTGAGTTCTTGAAGAAAGAGAGTCTGGCACTGTACAATCGATTGAATAAGGGTACAGTCCAGAAATGGATTGCACTGTGCAGAACGAAATGGTCTGATACAACAATCCACAATGTCCAGAACAAGCATATCTTAGGGGGTTCTGGACGTGTTGGTGCTCTTACAAAGTACTCTGAGCTTGTTGAGGAGATTAAAACGAACTTTCTGGGCTTTCGTGCAAAAGGTTACCCACTGAATACAGTAATTGGCCGTTCTATAATGCTTGCCATCATTGAAGCTCGCAATCCGGATATCCTCACATCGAACTTCAAATGCAGTGAGGTACGTATCTTATGTGTCTGTCCCTATCACAATAGTGGACATGTGCCTTGAGTATTGTCTCTCTGTCACGCTAACTGATGTACATGTTTGCATAGAAATACGTCAGGTTGTTCCTAGGATTGGTTTTGAATATGACAGTAAGGCAAGCAACTCGAGCTGCTGCACACCTACCCAAGAACTGGGAGGAGGTGTGTGAGTGCGCTTTTTTTCGTCTTGTTCATGTAGTAAAAGAGTTTGATATCCCCTCATTGGTGAGTGCTTCAGTACTATGGTTTATTAAGTATATCACTCATTTTCTTTCAAGTTAATTGTTAATATGGATCAAACAGGGGTACTATATATTCCTGGCTATAAGTACACCTATGAAAAGAAAGGTTCGAAGCAGGTAAACGTCATAGCTAAGGATGAGAAGCAAGGATACACACTTTGTGTATCTAGTACTGCTGATGGCAAACTACTGCCATTCCAGCAAGTCTACAGTGGTAAAACTGACCAGAGCCTCCCAGAAAAGAACTCTACAAATATGGAAGAGGCTCTCGGTGCTGGAATTCAATTTACAGTGGCAGCAAGTGTAAACCGGCGTGATAGTCACTTCAGCACTCAGAAAACAATGAAAGAAGTGTGTACATGCGTTGTAAATCTTCGTTCTTAAACTAAATACCTCTTACAGTTCATGAAGAACATCTACAAGCCTCACTATAAGAGAGTCTTGGAAGCGAATCCATACCTGCTAAGGGACCAGCGTGCTGTCCTTTACTTGGACTGCTATCCAGTACATACGAGTGCCGATTTCTTGGATTTCTTACAATCAGAATACCTGTATGTCATCCCTTTATTCGTCCCTGCAAACTGTAAGTGTGCAAATACATTTCTCAATGACATTAGAGCTGAACTTCTGTATGGTGAAGGCACTCCTGTATTCCAACCAGCAGACGTTGGTCTGCAGCGCATCCTCAAACACCAATTGAAACAACATGCACTTCAAGGAATGATCCAGCAATACTGCAGCCAGATAGCAAAGGGCATCCCTCTTGAACAAGTAGAAATATTAGACAAGATCAAAGTACTACACAATGCTACAGTATCGGCTGTATTGAGTGCATGGAACTTTATGAATACACCAAAGGGGCATGAAATCATTAGAATGGTAAGAATCTTTGATTTCGTTCAGTATATTGTCTTCTAACTTTCATTTATATATTACTCAGGCCTGGAGGAAATGTGTTGTTAAGGAATGGAACTTATCTGGCTCTATGCTTTCAGACCTCAAAGCAAGAGCAGCATTGTGCAATTATATTACTCAGGACAAAACTCTACAAGACGAGATTTTTAATAGGACTGGGCAGGAATTTCTGATTATTATTGATGGTACTGAAGACAGCAACGAAGACAATACTGATGATTTATTCAATGATGATACTGCAGTACCTCTTGCTTCAATCATTAAGGAGACAGTTGGAGTTGATGTTGGGAAAGAATACGAGTTTATTAATGACTACTGTGGAACAATGGATTCTATTGAGTATTCCAACGATCCTGACCATCCAGGCTTTGTCTTGAGTAATCCGGAGGAGAATATATGGTATTACTCAAACAACAGTGTCCTTTGGAACCAGTCTTAGAGGTTTGTGAACTGGTCCTTCTGCTTGTCTATGCAATTTACTCAACAACATTCTGTTGGCAGCTCTTATTATTTAGATGCTAGACAGCATACTCAGGCAATTAGACTTAGATTTTTTTTTGTTTTAAATGAAAAATATCATATTTTTTTTGTACTATGCTACATAGGTCAAGCACTGGCAACAAGTACTCTGTTACCCGTTACGTTACACTAAATAAGCAATGCAACAGGTCTACAGTTACCCGTTACCATTGCCTACATACAGTCCGCTACAGTATGTTATGTAGTATGATACTGCTTACATTCGTTTCATTCGTTCTGTGTTCATTGTTTGCATCTTGTTGTATTCTAATTATCATTGCTCCACTTTGTCTGAGTGTGATTATTGTTTTGTTTGCAATTGTAACGTTTATAGGGTTTGTATATTGTATGTTCATTAATTGAAATAGATAGGGTGTAGCATGGATATTAGCACCCAAATTGAGTATGTCAATACAATGTGTAAGTTTTGTTGTTCTGTAAGAACATGTATTAATACATATGTTTGGGTTATATTCCCTGAGGAATTCGTCAAGCATGAATTCCCCCTGTATTTCTTGCATTTGTTTGTCATTTATAGTGTCTGGCATTAGCATTTTGTTTACTTCGTCAATAAATGCTGCTGGGTCTGTAAGCATAGCACTCATTGTTTGAGCTGTAATTTGTTGTGATGTAGATGCATTTGTCATTGTCATTGTTTGCTTTTTTCGTGCTTCCTTTGTAGTGTCTGTTACTGGACTGCAGCACTCTTTGGACATATGTCCATATTTGTTACAATTGTAACATTTTGTTGTCTTGTAAGGCTTTGCATTGCCTCCACCACATCCTTGTCCTCTTGTTTGACCTTGTGTAGGCCCTGGGGATAGAGGGTGATTATTTGTTATTTTATTATTATTATTTAGTGTACTACATTTATTCTGGTGGTTCTGTGTTTGCCACTCAGTAAATGTGTTGTGTAATTTGTGAATTAATTTTGCCAGTGTGAACACCTGACATTGAGCTGCAGTAACTGTGGGTAGGCTATTGTAATGTGTGTTCTGCCTATCAATCATTGTTGCAACCCACTTGTACTCTCTTGGAGTAGTGAGATTTATCACTGAGACGTAAGTATTATCATCTGGTGCTTTGCTGTGAGCTACCAGTTATGCATAGACTTGTTCTATTTGGTCTAGTGTCTTGTCAAACTGTGAAACGTGTCCTCTAGCTGTGAACAGCACTGATATATTGACTGTGTGAGTCAACATGGTTTGTGCATTGTATCAATCAGCTAGTGCCTGCATGAGGTCTTTCATTGTTTTGTGCATCATAATGTTAGCATACACTGTATCTGATATTGTCTTTGTTATGAAATGATACAATAGTTTCCCTGTGTGTGTACTGTCTGCATCTGTGCTAGGGGGATTGTTTGTAAGATGGTCACTGAGCAGCATTGCTGCTAGTGCATTCATAATGTGTAGTTGCCATATCTTATAGTTCTTTGCACCTGTAAGCTTCTCTATGTCTTTAAAGAACGTAGCAAGTTGATTGTCATCGATCTTTGGAGACTCGAACGTTAACGTAGATTGTGCCATCGTTAGAGGCGTTGCGTTCGTAGGTGGAGCACTAGTACTAGGAGGGGGGGTAGACGTCTGAGGTAGAGGTTGCGTTCGTGGTGTCGTTCGTGTCGATGGTGCCATTCACAAGCCACCAAGGCTCATAACCTGTTAGAACGGGGAGTTTGGAATGGCACTTAGATATATGCGCATATATGCGCGCCCTTATATACTAGATACATCGTGCTATACTAGTAAATGAGACGTAAAACGCAGCGTGTCGAATAACGACAGAAATTATCAGGTAATGCTCACTTAATAGCTTACTTTTTCCTGCCTTTTTGGCTGAACACACGATTCAGCAAAGAAGAATTGGAAGTGTCGACGAGAGTTGTCACGATCCCGAGCCGACATGGAATACTCATTTGACCTTGATCTGATTTGTGCAGTACTCTACCGACTGGCTTTTCAGCACTGAATGCGCTTTGAGCAGTTAGGAGATTGGGAAGAACTTGATGCATCTATTTCCTATACTCGTATTGTAATTGGACTTCGTCCTCAAGGTCATCCGGATTGCTCCGAAGCAATCGAAAATCTTGGCCTTACTCTTTTCATGCAATTCAAGCAATATGGAAATATAGATGATCTCGAGGAGATGATCTCGTTACACCGTGCTGCCCTTGACAGTCTCCCAGAAGACCATTCCGATCATTCATCATCTCTGAATAATCTCGCGGCTTCCTTGACAATTCGATTCAAACAGTCTGGACAGTCTGGGGACCTCAATGAGGCCATTGAGCTTCACTGTGCTACAATGGAACTTCGCCCCAAAGGCCATCCTCTTCGTTCTAGGTCTCTTAGTAACCTTGCAGCTTCACTGGCACAACAATTTGAACAGTGTAAACTGTTGGAGGATATCAGCAAGGCCATTGTGCTGCATTGCACTGTCCTGGAACTTTGTCCAAAAGGCCATCCCAGTCGTTCATCATCCTTAATTAATCTAGCAGGTTCCCTACAAACTCGATTTGAATATTGTGGTAAAACCGAAGACCTTGATGAAGCTGTTGACCTTCTTCGTGCTGCTCTTGAAGTTAACTCAGAAGGTCATCCCCTTTGTTCCATGTCTCTAAACAATCTTGCAAATTCCTTGGCAAGTCAATTCGAGCTGTGCAGACACTCGGAGGATATTGACGAGGCCGTTGCATTTCATTGTGCTGCCTTAGAGCTTTGTCCCAAAGGCCATCCTGATCATTTCATGTCTCTGACTAATCTCGCAAATTCTTTTGCAAGTCAATTTGAACAGTTTAGACGTATGGAGGATGTCAAAGAGTCTGTCAAGCTTCACTGTGCTGCTCTGGAACTTTGTCCACAGGGCCATCCCCTTCGCTCTGTATCTCTGAACAATCTCGCAGGTTCGCTGCAACCTCGATTTGACCAGTATAGCCAGAAGGAGGACCTCAACATGATCATCAAGCTTTGCTGGGCTGCCTTGGAACTCATTCCCAAACACCATCCCAACCGTCTCTCATCTTTGAATAACATTGCAGCTTCCCTGAAAGCTCGTTTCGTGCGGCACAGGGAGACAGAAGATCTTGAACAGGCCATTGACTTCCAACAAAGTGTGCTGGAACTTTGTCCGAAAGATTATCCCCTTCATTCTTTGTTGATTAATGAGCTTGCAGCCTCTCTACAAACTTGCTTCGAGAAACAGAGACGGGTCGAGGATTTCGACAAGATGATTAAGCTTTACCGTGCTGCCCTAGAGCTTTCCCCAGAGGGTCATCGTCATCGTCATGTGTCTCTTAACAACCTCGCAGGTGTGCTGAAAGCTCGATATAAACAGTACAGAAGGGTGGAAGACGTTGAAGAGGCCATTAGGCTTCACCGCACTATCCTAGAGCTCCTCCCCGAAGGCCATCCGCATCTTCCTATGTCCCTCGATAATCTTGCAAATGCTCTGCAAGCTCAGTTTGAACAGCTGATGCAGATGGAGGACCTCGACGAGGCCATTGAGATTCACCGTGTAGCCTTACAGCTTCGTCCCGATGACCACCCTGATCATTCCATGGCTCTGAATTACCTTGCAATTTCACTAAGAACTCGATTCAGGCAGTACAAGCGAACAGAGGATCTTGAAGAAGCCATTGCACTTCACCGCAGTGCTCTAGTACATCGCCCCAATGGCCATCCTGATCGTTCAGTGTCTCTCTATAATCTGGCAAATTCTTTATTTACTCGATTTCAACACTATGGTCGGACGGAAGACCTTAATGAGGCCATTGGGCTTCATCGTGCTGCATTGGAACTTCGTCCTGGAGGCCATCCTGATCGGCCCATGTCTCTGAATGCTCTTTCCGGATCGCTGCGAACTCGGTTTGAACAGCAGGGACGGACGGATGATGTCGACGAGGCTGTAAGGCTTCACCATGCCACCCTTCAACTCTGCCCGAAAGGACATCCCGATCATCCTATATCTCTGAATGAGTTTGCAAATTCGCTAGCACGTCGATTCGAACGCCATGGACGGAAGGGGGACCTCGACCAGGCCATTGAGTTTCATCGTACCGCTCAAGAACTTCGTCCCGAAGGTCATCCGGATCGTTCCATGTCGCTGAATAACCTTGCGAATTCCCTAGCAAGTCGATTTCAACAGAATGGAAGAAAGGAGGACTTCGAAGAGGCCATTCAGTTTCACCGTGCTGCCTTGAGACTTCGTCCAAAATGTCATCCTTTTCGTTCCTCGTCTCTGAATAATCTCGCAACTTTGCTACTGCGAGCTCAGTCCGGTCGACATACACAGGTTGTGGACCTCGACGAGGCCATCGAGCTTTTCCATGCTGCCTTAGAGCTTCGCCCGGAAGGGCACCCTGACCGCTCCTCGTCATTGGCGAATCTCGCATTTACCTTATTCTCTCGTTTCGAGAAATCTGGGCGTATGGAAGATTTCGAAGAATCCATGCGTCTTTTAGAACTCGCTACCGAGCATGAATTTTCTAGTTCGGTGATTCGTCTCGAATCCGCCAGTCGATGGGCTTACTATGCTCGAACCCATGCTCATCATACTACATCCAGAGCCTATAAGGTGGCAATGTCGCTGCTGCAACGTGCACTCACTGTCAGTCCCACGCTCCATGCTCAGCACGACTTCCTCAAAAGGAATATCATCTACTACAGAATGTTTGCGTCAGATGCAGTAGCGTACGCTGTCGAGGAAAATAGGCTTGAAGAGGCTATAGAGATACTTGAGCAGGGAAGGGGTTTACTCTGGTCGCAGATGCGCGGCTTCAGGGCACCATTGGATCAACTCATGGAAGCAAATAAGGAGCTTGCAAAGAGACTCAAGAGTGTTAGTCATCGGCTAGAAAGTCTCGCAATATCCTCCGAGGAATTGATGCCTGGTCCAATAATGCACGACAGCGGATCGCTAGCGTCCAACATGCATACAGAACAGCATTCGTTTGACGAGATGCTGAAATTGAAGAGGCAACTCTCGATCGAGCAGGAGGAGGTTATCAACGAGATACGGAAGATCCCTGGGTTTGAGAACTTCCTTGCAGCCACGCCATTTGCGCTGCTGCAACGGGCGGCTCAAGAGGGACCAGTCATTGTGGTCAATCATAGCGAACAACGATGCGATGCCATTATCGTTCTTTCCCGCGAGGATTCACCGGCTGTCTGTGTCCCATTAGATGGAGAGTTCTATAAGGATAGCGTTTCGTTGTACATCAAGCTCTTGGAAACGCGAAAACAATTTACCGCTGACTCGCCCGAATATGACGAGGAGCTCATTGAAGCACTGAAGATGTTGTGGGAGAGGGTCGTCTCCAAGGTCGTCGAGAAACTGAAGGAGCTGGGGATTGTTGAAGGTTCACGCATTTGGTGGTGCCCTACGTCTGCACTGTCTGCGCTTCCTTTCCATGCGGCAGGTCCATTTACTGTCGTTTTCATAAATATTGTCACACGCGCGATTCGTGATTTTCGTCACACTAAGTACACTCAAATACAAAATCTACTATAACTCAACTAATACTTAACCAAATTACATGATCTAAGCTGTAAAAATTATACTTTTGAAGTATCTTTCATATTCCAGAAAAAATAAATTAAAATGATCAAAAATTGAGTAAGATACAACACAATATGTGAGTTTTCCCTATATTTCATGTATATGAGTTTTCCTGGCCCTAAAA